TTTTTCGTTATTATTTTTTATTTATCTTTAGTAAACTTTTTTTTTTCTAATATTTTAAAACTTTAGGTGTATCTAGATTATGTGATCTGAAATTTTTTAAAAATTAACTAAAATATGAAAAAATCACTAATGATAAAAAATAAAAAATAATTTTCAAAAATGAAACTAAAAAAATTGATTTTTGTTAACAAAATTCTATGGCACACAATGTTGTGTAATGTGTCACGATCCGCTCTTAGTATCCAAGGGTTAGACATCATGACACCAGTAACCGTGGTTACTCAAGGCCGATCATGGAACAATTAAATAAATAAACGCATGTGGAAATAATTAATTTAATTGGGTACTAAAATATATATTGGAGTTTCTATTTAATTAGAACAAAAAGACCATTAATCAAAAAGGTCAATTTTGGCAAATATTATAAAAGTACACTGTGCATCTTACTCTATAATTCCCTTCCCCGAAACCAGCCATACACAGCCCACTCTAATTATTATTTCTTGAAAATTGGTAAACAATTTATAAGTATATATATATATATATATATATATATATATATTTTGATAGGCGAAAGTTAGTAGTTAATTGTTAAGTTAGCACCTCGGGGGAGTTAAAATTCATACCCATACACCATGTAAGAAAAATCTTGTGCTCTCATTCCATTTCTAGAAGTGGAATCCAAGACCTCTCCCTTAAGAGAGACTTGGTGGCCAAAGGGCTTGTAGAGTGAAGAATATTATGCCAAGAGTATAAATGTCAGAAAATCACCATCGATAAACATTTAGGCCAAAACTAATCAAATGATAAGTATTTCAGTCAAAACAAATAAGTTACTTGTGTCCACTTCAAATACAGAAATCATATATATATATAAACTAATCAGAGGGTCACTGGAGTGACAATCATAATAGAGGGTCAATGGATCTATGACAGCATAGATGTATGGACTCAATAGGTGGCCTATATAGATTCTAAAGATAGCTCCCACAATAATATTGCACGCAATGACGACTCTAGAAGTTTTTCTAGATGTCAAAAAATTTAAGTTTCAAAAATTTTATAATTTTTTTTAAAGAAGTTTATACTAATTAACATTTGAATTTTCTTATGTTTAAGTTGAAAACACTTGTAACAAATTACTATTGTCTTAACAAAGTTATAATTAATATATATATATATATATATATATCTATATTTAAAATTGCATTCAAACATTATTTTTTGGAATCTACATACAATTGCATTCAACCATTATTTTTTGGAATCGTTGCATGATAATCTCATCAATAGTGCCATTTTTTTTTTTTTTTTTTATATAATCAGGAAATCATTCAACCATTCTACAATTGATATCTCATTTGCTTTTGAATGCTGAGATGAGAAATGTAATAGAGAGAGATTAGGTTCCTAAGGAAAAGGTTTGAAATTCAAAAAAAATGCTCTCCAAATGTGGTATTACAAGTACCAACTTTTGATTTGTCATGTATTCAAATATATAGACCCAACGTCCAACTTCTTTACTACATTATTATTAGAGAATTTGCATATATAAAATTTGAAATCTTACATTTCTCAAGTTCCTAATGGGGTCGCTCTGTTTTTTTGAATAAGATCAATTAATTATCAAATAATTTTTGTATCATAATTTTTTTTTTTCAACACTTCTTGACAACTTGGTGGGTGGCTGGGACCCTATCAACACCTTACCAGCATCCTCCCGGTAGCACGTAGATTCACACAACACTTTGCTCCACATCAAAGGGTCTTAAAGGTGACAAATAGACACAAAGAGTCAATGATTATTAAAACCCCTCAAAACAAGGGACCTTCGTGCTAGTACTACATAAAAATTTACTCATATTATCATTTACTAAATCATTTTCAAAATCATATTTAATAAACAATTATATCCATGGTTCCCCGACAATGAAGTCTTCTTCTTCATCACCTTCAATCCCAACAAATCTAGGCATGTTGATCTCGAATCTGAGTTCATTTGTCATAGTCAAACTTGATTGGAAAAATCAACTCCAGAACATCCTTTATGCTACTGATCTGTTGAAATTTCTTGATGGATCATATCCATGTCCTAGCCCTATGATACGAAATTCATTAGGTGTTCAAATTCCAAATCCAGAATCGATTCTTTGGAAGACAATCGATGCTCATCTTCTAAGCTGCCTTACGGCTATTCTGTCTCCTTCTATCTTCACTTCAGTTCTTCATCTCAAAATGAGTTTAGAGGTCTGGTCTTCACTAGATAAGCGATTCACATCATTGTTCAGGTCTCATATTCATCAATTGAAGAACAGGCTGAGTTCCATTTCGAAGAAATCTAAATCAATGAAGACATATCTCAATTGAATCAAGGATTTGATTGATCAATTGCGTATAGCATCGGCTACAATTGATGATGAAGATGTTGTACTCATCACCTAGAATGGTTTTCCTACTGAGTATCATGCTCTCATGACTATTGTTAGGGTTCAATCTGAGTCCATTTCTATGGAAGATCTTTCTTCTTTGTTATGCTCAGAAGCAATTCATGTTGAAAGCAACCTTCAACAATCCTCAGAATTAACAGTTGCCTATGCTACTATGAAGGATTCATCCTCATCATCTTCAAAAGGTTTCAAGGCTTATCAGTACGGAAGAGGTTATTCTTGAAATGACTCTTGAGGTTCTTACAGAGGTAATAGATCCTCTCATGGGAGGACTTCATCTTCTTTCCGTGGCATATCTCAGTTTCACAAGTCCAATTTTGGTATTATTTGTCAAATTTGTGGCAAGCCTAATCATTCTGCATCAGACTGTTGGCATAGACTTGATTCCAATTTTCAACCTATTTCTCCATCTTCATAGCAATCATCTTCTCCATCTGTGCCTTATGCATCCAAAGCTTATGTTGCCTCAATTCCAAATGCTAGTCTCAACCCTATGGTTCTTAGACACTGCTGCAACTGATCACATTACACATGATCTTCATCAATTGAACTCCTATCAGCCTTACACTGGCACTGATCAAGTCACCATTGGTAATGGTTCCTCTCTTCGTATCCAACATACTGGTAAAGGTATGTTGCCCACTCCTCATTACTCTTTTCAATTACAACATGTCTTATATGCCCCATCTGTCTCTTCTAATCTCGTTTCTATTAAAAAATTGGCTAAGGCTAATAATTGTTCTGTAACTTTTGATGGCACTTCTTTCTTTGTTCAGGACAACCACACTAAGGCTATTCTACATAGAGGTGTTCATGCTCATGGCCTTTATCATTTTCTACATCATCCACCATCCGCCATCCACTTCACATGCTTGTCATCACTCTACTACTTCGGCATCTACTTCTCTTTGGCATAAGAGACTTGGCCACCATCATCTCATAAATTTTATGTTCTTAAGAATCATATGCCTGTTTCAATAAATAATGATTTCATTTCTTGTAATGATTGCTCAGTTGCAAAATGCCATCGTTTACCATTTAAACTTTCTAATTCTACTGTAAATGCTTCTTTAGCTTTAATCCACACTGATGTTTGGGGGCCCTTTACCTATTCTTCTTCCTCTTACAAATTTTATGTGTTGTTTGTGGATGATTTTAGTCATTTTACTTCGCTTTTTCCTCTCTCTTATAAAAGTGAAGTTTGTTTTAAGTTTAAAGAATTCAAAATGTTTGCTGAAAAACAATTTGGTTATCCTCTCAAAGTTGTGCGGGTTGATGGTGGTGGTGAGTTTGTTAATTCTTGTATGCAATCATTTATGAAATCTGCTGGTATTCATCATCAGTTTTCATGCCCATATACTCCTCAAAATGGAGTTGCCGAAAGGAAACATTTTCATATTGTTGAAATTGCTATTTCCCTCTTACATCATTCTTCTCTCCCTTTATCTTTTTGGTTTGAAGTCATTGCCACTGCTACTTATCTCATTAATCTTATGCCTAGTGTAATTCCCTAGTAACAAGATTCCAATAATTGGTTGGATAAGTGGTTAGGTTGTTAGTGTACAGTTAGTAAGTGTCGTAATATGATTGATATATAAATATATCAGTAGCTGTGTAAATGATAGATCATGGAATAAAATCATTCCTTTTCATCACATGGTAATTCAAGATATAATACAACTCACCTATATACCAAATCATGAACACCAATAGATTGCTAATCATTCTCTCAAACCTCCAATCAATCATTATGTGTCACTCTCCACTTCTCTATTTCTCCCCCTTCCACTCTTTTCTTCTCTGTTTTTCTTCTTCTCCACGATTATGAAATCTTTCCTTTTATATGCTAGTCATTACATGCAAATAGATACATATCACGGCTAGATGTCTTTAGTACAAAAGAGTGGCAAATTTCATTTTTGCTTATTACACTTTCGCCTCCAAACATTATAATAATTATATTTTGACTCTAAAATTTATATGAATTACATAATTTGTAAAAAACATTTTGAACTTAATCAATCATATATAACATTATATTTGTTCCATTTGTAATTAAATAATACTGATACAAAATTAAAGAATAATTTAATTTTCAGTTTGTCACATAATACATGTAGATTTTCAACTCAATCTTAGCAATTTTTGGATGATCCATCAGCTCATTTTTATTTTTTAGTACGAGCAAATTGTTCCAAAATTACATTGCAGAATTACTATAATAACAACAAATTGTTCCAAAATTACAAAATTACATTGTTCCAAAATTATATTGCAAAATATAATAACATTATATTTTTTTGTACGATCAATTCAAGTAACCTTATGCTAAGATTGAGTTGTATATTTTTAGATAAAGGTCTAATAACAAAAAAAAATAATAAAAATTACCAAAAATAACTTGGTTTACAAATACATGTTTCTTTTGTGTAATCTCGTAGCCAATCATAAGGTTACTTGAATTGTAGGAATTCCTATAAACTGAGTTGGAGGAAAACATTTTCCGAAATAGAAATGGAAATGGAAATTTAAGTTTAAATAGTGTATTGTAAGTCTATATATTGATAAAATCTGAATGATAGTAAGGATTATGACTGCAAACAAAGTTTTACACTTTATCTCATTGCTCGATAAATAAAAAATGTGTTTGTCCATGTATCTTTTCAAAGAACTAGGAAAAGAAGAATTTAATAGTAAGAGTCATCGAGGCAATACATCTGAATGAGTTACTTCATTGACAGTGTATAATTCAACAATTGGTGAGGATTGAGCTGATTTCAAGACTAGTTGCCCAATAGAAAATGCCGGTTGCGTTGGTCGAGGAAGTGTCACAGTATTGTTTCTCAACATAACAACTACAGATGACATAGTGGGTCTATCTGATGCATCTTCTTGGACACACAATAATCCGATATGGATGCATTTTGACACCTCCGTTGCTACACATGATTGCCCCAATAATGGGTCCATTAGCACCAATCCTTGATCTTCAGACCATAATTTCCATGCCTGTGACAATATTTCAAGTAATGAGGTAAAATCAATACAAAATTTATCATTGTTCCTTTAAAAGGTAGAGAGGCGACTAGGAACTTACAAAAGTGAGAAGGCTATGCCCATGCTCAGAAAGATAAAAGCCATTGTTCCTTTTCCCACTTATCATCTCCAACAAGAGAACTCCAAAACTAAAAACATCAGACTTAATTGAAAATATTCCTTCCATAGCATACTCAGGAGCCATATATCCACTGTTGTAAATTAGATCATCACAAATAATATCATGTGAGATGGACATACATTTTAGTGACTCCATGAAAAGTGAGGAAGTTCTAGATTCGTTTTCAAATCAAAGACAATTTAACTCAAAATTACAAATTCATGCATGTATACATATGTATGGATGTGGATTAGCAAGACGCTTACTATGTTCCAACTACTCTGTTTGTGTTGGATTCACTTTGATTTCTACCAAAAATCCTTGCCATTCCAAAATCTGATATTTTGGGATTCATCTCATCATCCAGCAGAACGTTGCTAGTTTTCAGGTCCCGATGAATTATTCTAAGTCGAGAATCCTCATGCAGGTAAAGAAGGCCTCTAGCAATTCCATTAATAATGAGAAGGCGTCTCTTCCAATCTAATTGCACAGCTTTAGTTGAGTCTAACAGCAAAATGAACAACATGCAAGATAATTATTATCTTTAGTTTTTGATTTTTTGTTTGAATTAAAATTGGATTTATTTAGCAAAGTGAAAAACTTAAAAATGGTCCAAACCAAAGAGGAAGATGTCTAAGCTTTTGTTGGGCATGTACTCATAGATGAGAAGTGACTCATTTCCCTCCAAGCAACAACCCAATAGTTTAACAAGATTTCTATGTTGTAGTCTTGCAATTAAAGTAACTTCATTCTCAAGTTCTTGTAGACCTTGGCCAGAAGTTCTTGAGAGTCTCTTAACTGCAATTTCCTTGCCATTTGGTAATGTACCCTGCAAACCATTTTCAAGTCGTACATTAATGCACTCGAACAGGAAAAGAGACTCCTAATTGCCCATTAAAGATTGTGTTGGTTCATTGAATTAACTAGGCTTTGTTAATCACATAGTCCACCATGTCACATAGACAAGTTATTATTTTCAGCCTTAACCGATTCATTGTGAGCCCATGAGTACCTTGTAAACTGGACCAAATCCGCCTTCACCAAGCTTATTTTCTTCCGAAAAATATTTTGTAGCTACATGTATAAGATTTAACTCGATTGAAGGAAAGTCATGTGATTTTGTGTGCTTCTCGCCTCGCAAATGTTCACAGTTGTAGTTATTGCCAAACCTTTGTCCTGCCATGTTGAATGATTGAACTTCTAAGCTATTTTCTTGCTCTTTTGCAAGAAAAAAGGAATTGATTGACATATTGTTGCAATTACTATAAGAAGACTCACTACAAAAAAAAATTGTTTTTTGCGACGGTAAAACGCCGTTGCAAATACCCCAATCGTTGTCGCTAAAGGTTTTTGCGACGGTAAAATGATTTTTTGCGACGGCAAGTGAGGGTCGCAACAAAGGGGGTTGCAAAAGGGCTTTAGCAACGACAAGTGCCGTCGCCATTGTTTTTAAGACGGGAAATTTTTTTTTTTACGACGGCAAATTTCTGTCACCAATAATCCATGAAAATCTGGGTTTTTTTGCGACGGTACGGTATTGCCGTCGCTAAAAGAGGTTTTTGCGACGGCCAAAATCCCGTCGCTAAAAGTGTCATCGCTAATGACTATTGTCGACGGCAACCTGAGCCGTCGCTAAAGGCCTTATTTTCAATTTAATTCCTACCTTTTGCGACAGTATTGGTGCCTTCACAAAAAGCTTGCTACCATTTTCTTTTTGCGACGGGGTGCTCAGTCGTCTCAAAAAAAAAATTTTAAAAAAACCCCTATATTAAAATTATTAAAAATATAAAAATAACCTATATTAAATGAAAAATAACTAAAAAAAAATCCAAAAATTACATAATAATATAAATACATACATAAACAAAAGTTGGCACATGATGAACATTCATAATGTTGTTCCATTCATAACAATACATAAATAAAAATTCATAACAATAAAAATTATGCCATTACATAATGTCGCATAATACATACATAATGTTGTTCACAAATTTAAATAACATAAATCAAAATGAAAACCAAAAGTTTTCATCTTGATTCTTTCGTGGGTTACAAAAATAAAAGTTGGTCATAATCTTTACACGCCCGCATTCCACAAGAAGCAAACTGCTACTCAGGAAATATCTGAAAAAAAAATAAAAATAATTAATAACAATATAATGGTGTTAATATTTTAATTACAGAAAAATATAAAAAAATTAACTACTATATAATTACAAAGATAGTTTAGTAAATAATTTTGACTAGACCGAAATCCGACTCTAACTCCCAAACCGGGAACCTGATTCGAGCCCCGTTTTCTTGCACAAGTCTATCGTACCTAGGCAGTCGTGTGTGCTAACTTTCGTGCTAAACCGACGCCGTTTGGTGATTTTGGGGCATTAACACCTCGAATTCAAGTTTCTTAAGGAACTAGTTTGCCTAAAGTAAAATCCGACTCTAACTCCCAAACCGGGAACCCGATTCCAGCCCCGTCTTCTCCCACAAGTCCCTCGTACCTAGGCGGTCATGTGTGCCAAGTTTCGTGCTAAACTGACGCCGTTTGGTGATTTTGGGGCGTTAACACCTCGAATTCAAGTTTCTTAAGGAACGAGTTTGCCTAAAGTGAAATCCAGCTCTAACTCCCAAACCGGGAACCCGATTCGAGCCCCGTTTTCTCCCACAAGTCTATCATGCCTAGGCGGTCGTGTGTGCCAACTTTCGTGCTAAACTGACGCCGTTTGGTGATTTTGGGGCATTAACACCTCGAATTCAAGTTTCATAAGGAACTAGTTTGCCTAAAGTGAAATCCGGCTCTAACTCCCAAACCGGGAACCCGATTCGAGCGCCGTCTTCTCCCACAAGTCTCTCAGGCCTAGGCGGTCGTGTGTGCCAAGTTTCGTGCTAAACCGACCGCGTTTGGTGATTTTGGGGCATTAACACCTCGAATTCAAGTTTCTTAAGGAACTAGTTTGCCTAAAGTAAAATCCGACTCTAACTCCCAAACCGGGAACCCGATTCGAGTCCCGTCTTCTCCCACAAGTCTCTCGTGCCTAGGCGGTCGTGTGTGCCAACTTTCGTGCTAAACTGACGCCGTTTGGTGATTTTGGGACATTAACACCTCGAATTCAAGTTTCTTAAGGAACTAGCTTGCCTAAAGTGAAATCCAGCTCTAACTTCCAAACCGGGAACCCGATTCGAGCCCCGTCTTCTCCCACAAGTCTCTCGTGCCTAGGCGGTCGTGTGTGCCAACTTTCGTGCTAAACTGACGCCGTTTGGTGATTTTGGGACATTAACACCTCGAATTCAAGTTTCTTAAGGAACTAGTTTGCCAAATGTGAAATCCGGCGCTAACTCCCAAACCAGGAACCCGATTCGAGCCCCGTCTTCTCCCACAAGTCTCTCATGCCTAGGCAGTCGTGTGTGCCAACTTTCGTGCTAAACTGACGTCGTTTGGTGATTTTGGGGTGTTAATACCTTGAATTCAAGTTTCTTAAGGAACTAGTTTGTCTAAAGTGAAATCCGACTCTAACTCCCAAACCGGGAACCCGATTTGAGCCCCGTCTTCTCCCACAAGTCTCTCATGCCTAGGCGGTCGTGCGTGCCAACTTTCGTGCTAAACCGACGCCGTTTGGTGATTTTGGGGTGTTAACACCTCGAATTCAAGTTTCTTAAGGAACTAGTTTGCCTAAAGTGAAATCGACTCTAACTCCAAACCGGGAACCGATTCGAGCCCCGTCTTCTCCACAAGTCTCTCGTGCCTAGGGGTCGTGTGTGCCAAGTTTCGTGCTAAACCGGCTCTACTCCAATCTGGGAACCGATTTGGTCTCGTCTTTTCCACAAGTCTCTTAACTTACAAATGTAAAGAATGCAATGATACATTTTAGCTTAGAATGCAAGGATACATTTTATACCTGATCTTTTGGTGGTGGTGTATATGGATTCTCGTCTTCTGTAGATTCCCTAAACGTCCGGTGGCCACTCGATGCATCAGGAACCTATGATAGTCAATACATAATGTGGTAATCATATTCGAATTTTATACATAATCTTTTGTGAAAATTGAACTATCAAACAATTGTGATGTTTATATGGAACCTGTCTGTTGGGATCCACACTTGCCCCCTGTGACACTAAGGCCATCATCTCAGCTCTCATCTACTGTAAATGTGTAGAGAACTCTGCTCGTAGCTCCTCCCTCAACTCATCCCTTAGCTCTGCACGAACCTGCTGCGTGATTTGATCAATTGTCGATGGCTGGGGTGTTGACTGTGATGGCCCAGCACCATCTTTATACACCGCTCTCCGAGGCACAATTCTCCCATATGTGCGACAATATCCATGTCCTTCATGACCTATCAACTCATGGAAAATGGCATTCCTAGCTTCCAAAGTCCGACCATCCTCAGGTAGCATAGAGAGTTGACGATTAAACTCATCCTGTATTGAATAAGACATACAAGTATATGCCAAATTAAGATGGTTGACACACAAAAAATAAACTTTAAATACAATCAAAGGTGTTTGGAAACTACCAAGGTCTGGATAACCTCTGGGTCATCTGCTCTACGTGTCATAAGCCAAACATTCATGTTATCAGTAAACTCCCCCTTATTGGTCATCTACATTTCTTTAGAAATATGAAAATTAGAATCCAAATAATTTGCAAATATACAATGTTTATTTATATACAAAAATAAAACAAGAAAATGTAAACCTCATGCCGTATCTGAGAGAAAGTAGTACGCCCTGTGGTATGAGCTATGCCGTGAGCTCGCCGATTTTTAGCGTTCCTACTTGCAATTTTCTATAACAGGTTCAACAAATGTAAGTATGTAAATATGATTTGTATGTTTACATATCATAAATATAACTTATTTGTATACCTCAGCATCGGAAGTACGCCAATACTCCACAAGTTCTTCCCACTGGCTTGGCACAATGTGCAAAGAAACATCATCCTTCAGATTAGGATCAGAACTTCTAAGCTTGAAATACGTAGCCTTAATCTTGTTCTTGTGATCCTTCCATATGCTATTGCAGTTTTTCATGCAGATTGGCTTGTACTCCTCTGGACATATATTCAAATTGTCCTATAAAACACAATTTCAAAGGCTAAGTATAACACAAATTTGGAAATCGAATTTGTGGAAAAAAATATACTTTTACCTTCACATCCTTCCAGATAGCATCAACAATATCATCAGACACACTGTTCCAGTCAACAAAAGTAAGAGGAACAATGTCACCATTCCGCACAATAATGCCAAGTTGAGTAGTTAACTTAGCCACGTTATCCCCTATTGGACAGTAATTTTCATCAAATTGTATGTCCAGCCTTTTACCAGTACCCCACTCTTTAATGCCCTTGGCACATCCTCCACCACGCCTAGTCGAGGTTGATGAAGAACTAACATGACCTGCGAGATAAAATAACAACAAACAATATGCAATGGTAATAAACAAATGCAAATTTAAATAATATGAATACAAATCGAATTCTTATACCTGAGGTGGGCTGTGAAGAAGTCGAAGGGTCTGCAAAATACAATGAGAATAAACAAGTTATATATAATGAGCATAAATAAATGTATGTGTAAATAATTTTCATGCAAATCAAAGCAAATTTAAATTCCTGCGGATGGCTCATAAGCTGATGACTCTAGTCGGGATGATAGTTGTTGTGGTGCCACTGATGGTGGTCGATGCGGTGGTACTAATGGCCCCTCAGATGGTGGTGGCACTAATGGCCCCTCCGATGGTGGCCGATGTGATGCCTCCTCAGATGGTGGTGCTACTGATGTCCTGTTATGTAGCACATCAGACATCATGCGCCGAGGATGATCAGGCTTCCTCTTCCTTCTCATAATAATCTACAAGCAATATAACATTAATTGACATTAGAAACATAGACAATGGTTTGTTATCAACTATAATATGACATTAATTGAACTAATACAATTACAAAGACAAAGTAAATTAAGAAATTTATGATTAACTACAACCTTGGCCTTAATTGAATTACTAATGTTGATTAAATATCAGCCTATTTGAACATCAACTGTTTCCCCTTCTGCGGCTTTCCTCACCCAACCAACTTCTTCACCACGAAACATTATATTTTCTTCCAATTGTTGGCTCATGTATGGCTCGATTTGTGGATCAGTCGAACTTATATCAAATAAACCTCTTTG